GATAACATGGGATGGAGAAGAGTGACTTCACCAGTGTGTTCTACTGGAAAATACAGGGCATGGATTTTGTGATAAGCACCCAGCTTATTCATTTCTTGTTCCTCATGTTTGTCAAAACACTAGGAGAAATTACTGCCTCTAAATATAAATGTTTTTTTTTTCAGAGCTGGGAATCGAATATAGGGCCTTGTCCATGCTAGGCAAGTGCTCTGCCACTGAGTTATACCTACAACCCTCACTCTAAATATTCTATCCATCTTAGTTTTTTTGAGGGGGTGAGGGTGGTATTGGGGTTTGAACTCAGGGCATTGTGCTTGCTATGCAGGTGCTTTACCACTTCAGCCACGCCTGCAGATCTTTTTGCTTTAGGTATTTTTTTTTTTTTTTTTTTTTTTTAGAAACTGATGTTTTATTTTCCATCAACTTTTTCCCATTTTGCTGAAGGGATGGCAGATCAACAACTTAAGACCATTCAGTGGTTGTCCCCACCCACTCAGTTGCCTGAGCAGTGGGAGCTGCAAACCAGTCTTCAGTGGTTGGTTGGGCACTCCAGTCTTCAGTAGGGAATTGCTGGATAGGCACAGAAGGCACTTGCACACCTTCTGACCAGTCTGCGACCTCAGGCTGGGTAGCAGTGAACTCAGGAGCTGGTGCAGTCCATTCACCCTGAAATTCATCCTTAGTCACAGCCTTTTCAGCGGCAGCCTGTTCTTCCTTAATCTCTTCAGGATCTCTGTAGAAGTACAGATCAGGCATGACCTCCCATGGATGTTCACAGGAGATAGTTCCACACATGCGCAGAACTTCCCAGGCCAGCATCCACCACATTAGACCCACCGAGTGAGCTCCCTTGTTGTTGCATGGGATGGTAATGTCCACATAGTGCAGAGGGGAATCTGTGTTACACAGAGCAATGGTAGGCAAGTTGACGTAAGATGCCTCTGTGAGAGGCTGATGATCAGTCCTGGGATCAGTCACCACCAGCAGACGTGGCTCACAGAAGGCCGCCTGGATTTGGTTAGTGAAGGCTCCTGGAGTGAAATGGCCAGCAATTGGGGTGGCTCCAGTGGCAGCGGCAAACTTCAGTACTGCCCGCTGGCCAGTATTCCTGGAGGATATAACACTGACATCAGCAGGGTTTTCAATGGCAACAATGGCTCAGCTGCCAGCAGAAGCTTCTCCCGGGTCCTCTTCAGATTTATGATGTAGATACCATCACTTTTCCTTTTGTAGATGTACTGTTCCATCTGGAAATCAAGGTTGGTGCCACCTAAGTGGGTTCCTGCTGCAAGGAATTTGAGGACATCCTCCTCCTTCATTTGCAGGACATCAAGGGCTCCTGACATTGTATTAGCTTCCCTTTAAGTTACGACAGGAATCAAAAACAACGCAGTATGGACCCTTCTCTGGGTAGCGTGGAAAGGCGCTTTAGGTATTTTTTAATAGAGTCTCCTTGTTTATGCCTAGGCTGGCCTGGACCATGATCCTCCTATTTATGTTTCCCAAGTAGCTGGTGTAACAGGCATACACCTCCACACCCAGCTCTTTTATTTGCTGAGGTGGGACGGGGAGAAGAGATTATCTTTTATCTGTTTTTATTGTTCCTATCAGCAAACTTTCTTTAAAAACCAAATCTAGATTTCTGGGTTGAGAGCATAGCTTAGTGGCAGAATGTTTCCCTATTATCTGTGGAGCCCTGGGTTTGTTCCCCAACACCACATAAAATAAAACATGTTATCTTTTGTCTAAAAAGAAAAAGACAAAAACTAAGGTTATCTTAACAGGAACAGGAGGATAGGGAAATTACTGAGATTTGCCCTTGTTCTGTGGAGCAAGACCTTAGTCTGAAACAAGCTATAGTGAAAGTAAATAGTGAGAGACTTCATTGGGGGCCTCAGCAGGGGTGAATGAAGAAATATCTGATGAGCCACCTGTAATCCTAGTATTCAGGAGATCAGAAGGATCACCATTTGATGCCAGCCTGGGCAATTAGTGAGTGAGACCCTGTCTTGAAAACATCCTACACAAAAAAAGATTGGTGGAGTGGCTCAAGGTGTAAGCTCTGAGTTCAAACTCCACTACTGCAAAAAAAAAAAAAAAGAGAAATACCTAATGAATGCTGCTTAGGCTGAGAAATAGCTCCAGGGTTCACAAATTTCACAATTTTCTTTCCACTTGTAGCCCAATGGAAAAGCTATAGAAATCCTCCCCAGTAGATTGGAGCTGAGGGTGGGGTTCCTGCTTCTAGCAGGAGCAATTGGGAGGAAGCATAGAGACAACAAATGGCAGGATTCCAAGTTCTTAGCCATAGTGAAAGAAATGTGTTCTTGGCATTTTAACATCTTCTACAAACATACTAGCAAACTGTTTCATCACATATTTCAGCTTTTAAAATGATTTTGGTTTGTACAATTTTCAGTGTAAGTTGACTTGGAATAGCTTTTATTTTTGTTTTTACGTTTCATTTAAAATCAGGAAGTATGAAATGATGGGAATTATTGGTAAGTAGTCCTAGGGATTACCTGCATGCAGTATCTGCTGTGTGTCCGTGGATAAATACTGACCTATGTACTCTCTGGGGCACCCTCACCTGGATGCATGTCTGTTCAGAGGTCTGTTTGGGGCCAATATCCAGGATGGTAAATGTCAGTTCACAGTTCTGACTGTCTTTAGAAATTCAGTAACTTCCTTGATGATTTCAGGATATTCATTTTTGTGGGTGTGTGGGGGGGTGAGTTTCTGCAAACCTTTTTAGGATATAGAACTCTTGGCATGTCTATGAGTAGATAACAGAGAAGCTGGACTTTCCTTTTGTCTTAGGATCATTCAAGCCTTGGAGTGTGGATGGGATGGTTTCTTGGCTATTGGTGCCAGATTCCAATTATTTGACTCTTTAAAGGAAAGACTCTGACATCTCTTTAGGGATATATAATAGTTGTAGACACAAGTAGGCTGTAAGAGACAGCCAGAACTTTTAATACTCTTCAAAGCTGCTAAGTTACTGAGTTCTAGCATGAGTTTATTGTTAGCCTGTACCTAACTAGATAGTTGGTCAAATGGGATCTTATCTTAGTCCAGAACAAATTTTAGCTTATGTTTGTTTTATTTCATTTTTGGGAGTACCAGGGTTTAAACTTGGGGCCTTGTGCTTGCTAGACAAGTGCTCTGCCATTTGAGCCACACCCTAGCTCTTTTTTTGCTTCAGTTAATTCTTTTTTTTCTTCTTCTTGTTTTTTTTTTTGTTTGTTTGTTTTGTTTTTTTGCCATACTAGGGTTTGAACTCAGGGCCTGTACCTTGAGCCACTCCACCAACCCTTTTTTGTGATGGGTTTGTTTTGTTTTGTTTTGTTTTGTTTTGAGATAGGGTCTCGTGACGTATTTCCCTGGGCTGTCTTGGAACCTTGGTTATCTCTGCCTTCTGAGAAACTAGGATTACAGTTGTGAGCCACCGGTGCCTGGCTTGTTTTAGTTATTTCTTGGGTAGTGTCTTGAGTTTTTGCCTGGGCTAGCCTGGACCACAAATCCTCCTAAGACTTCTCATGTAGCAGGGAGCACAGGTGCACACCACCACATCCAGTTTATTAGTTGAGATGGTGTGTGGGGGTGTATCTCACTAACTTTTTGCCTGGGTTGGCCTTGAACATGATCTTCCCAATCTTTACCACCTCTATAGCTGGGTTTACAGCTGTGAACCACCATGCCTTGGCCTATTTTATTTTGAGACAGGATCTTGCTGTGTAGCCCAGGCTGGCCTTGAGCTCAAAATTCTCCTGCCTCAGCCTCCAGAATACTAGGATTACATCACACCCAGCCCTTGCACTTGCACAGAGTGAGTTATGATAGGTACATTATTTCTGAGGTTGATACAATGTATGCTTGTGTCCTTCCCTTAAATACTGGAATGTAAAATGTTTCTTTGTGTGTGGTGGGGTCTCACCACTGTGTTGCCCAGGCTGACGCCAAACTCCTGGGTTTCAGTCCTCTGCCCTAGCCTTCTACATAGCTTATAGGCATGCCACCATACCTAACTTTAGAATATAATTTTTGCAATACACTTGTTTTTCTAGAGCTGTTTTACATTTTCAGAAAAATTGAGAAGATAATCCAGAGTTTGCATATATCTTTTCTCCTATTATTACCATCTTATAGTAGTGTATAGTACCTTTGTTACAGCTAATGAATCAGTATTGATACATAATTAACTAAAGTCTGTATCCTGTGCATATTTTCTTAGTTTTTACCTAATGTTCTTTTTCTCTTATAAGATCCCATCTAATACACGATTTTTATATTCAGCAATTAGGTCTCCTTAGGCTCCTCTGGCTATGACAGCTTCTCAGATTTTTGTTGTTTTTGATGTCTTTGACAGTTTTGTTGAGTACTTCTCAGGTATATTATAGATCCCTCTTGGAATTTGTTTTACTCATATTTACTTTGACTGGAATTATGGTATTATATGTCAAAACTATGTTTAACCTTTTAAGATATTGCCAAACTATCTTCCAAAGTAGGCACACGATTTTGCATTCCCACCTGCAATAAATGAGAGTTCTCTCATTCAACATCATTGTAAGCATTTGGTATAGCCATTTGTTTTGGCCTTAGTTCATTCTAATAGGTGTGCAGTGGTTGGGACACAATTTTCAAAGTTAGTCACTTAATCTCACTATCATACTTCATTGTATCTCACTGTAGAAACACTATCTCTTGATATTTTTTCTTGAATTTAGCATTAAGAATATATATGTGCTTTCCCCGTATAGATAACTGTGCTTAAACAGCATTTCACATATTATGTTAAAATTACCTATTCTCTTTGCTTTCTTATTACTAATAGCTTGTAAGCTACATTCCACTGATGTTGAGTTATATTCTTGATGTTACTATTTCATGTTTAATGGCTTTTGTTTAATTTTTATTGTCATTTTCCATTCTTCAAAGTCATTTTTGTTTTTGTTTCTTTGTTCATAAAGCTTTTTTGTTTCTGTTACATTATGTAGTTTTGTACCAATGGCTAGAAGCAGATCGTCATGGCAAGAGCCAAGATGCTGCAAATACGACTTCAGGTAAAAATAACAGTTAAAAAAGAAAGGATGAGGAGTTGGAATTTATTATTTCATTTCACCCCAAGCCCATTCTAAGTGTTTCTCCCTTCAATTTTACTTGGACAAACTTGTAGGCATTATTTTGTATTCTGTTCTGTCATCTGCATCTTAATTTTCATAAAGACCTCATTTGCCTCAACTCTTGAAAAAATGTAATCACTAGTCTTTAAGCTGTCTTGGCATGTATTTCTCACTTTCTTAGAAAGAAAGGCTTAATTGCAGCTTGTATTTATTAGGTTACTTGGCAATATTATTTGGAATTAAGTCTTTATATAGTTATGTCATGGACATTAATATTTGAGCTAATTTTTTGACAGTGCTGGGAATTGAAGCCAAGGCCTTACAAGGATATTAATATTTATACAAATTTATAATACTTGTTTGTTTCAGGGTAATATTTAAAAGGTAGATTTTATTTTAAGTTAAGAATATTGATGTATAAGTTCTACTTCCTAGGAATCCAGATTATTAAATGTGGTCAGTTTTCCTACTTAGTACTAGCAGTAAATTCTAAGTTTCAAGTTTAGAAAACATGCATTCAAAATGAAAAGAGTATGTCGTTCCCCATCTCCTGTGCCCAAAAGGCATCTACAGGGTTTCTTTTTGATTAGTAGGAATAACTATGCCACTTGTTTCTAAATCCTTACCAATGATTTCAGAATTTCTAAATAGTCGATTCCTTCCTTATTTTCTTTCAAAATAATATTTGCCAAGACAGCTGTGTCTATAACAATGATCTTTCCTATTGCTGCCTTTTCAACAGTGTAAGAGATGTGGTTGTGGTGGTGGTGGTGGTGGTGAAGGTGATGAAAGTGAGAGAGGTGGTGGTTATGGTGGTGGTGGTTTTGTTTTTCTTTTGTAAGTCTTATATTTTTGTGAAATTCTTTCTGGAGGTAATTTCCTTCCCTAGTTGATTCATTGTGTTTCAAGAAGATGTAGTGTTCCTTAGGTAACAGAATAATTATATTGGGGCACTGTCATGACTTCTGTGATTTATCTTGTGTCCTATTAATAACTTGATATATGAATGAAGATAATGTTACTATTTTAACCATACACAGGCAGGAATTCATTAAAAGGTAAGTGTTACAAGGAGTTATGACCTGGCTTTATGTAGTGTTTTTCTGATTCTGCAGTGTTTCATATTTTACTTACATTTATGGGTGATAAAAATAAGCATTCCCAGTCTTTATTGCTGGGCAAAGAAGAGGGCTCCTTGTGGCTCTGTATTATCTGAAGATATGCTTGTTACTGTATTGGTAGCACAGCATGGCTGTTTAGAACCAGAGAGAGTTTTCCTCTTTTTTTTGTTTCTTGAACCTAAAATGAAGTGAAATAATCTAAGAATTCTCAGTGTTCTTATGAAAATCTAGCATCAGCTTAAGGGCATGATTTACCCAGAAATCAACAATTCTGGACCTTATCTTTCTCAGCCATATTTACTAATGGACAGTTTCCCGTATCTCCATTGACATTTTTGATGTTTATTTAATTTAGGAACATGATGCAAAATTTGATATAGTCTCTTTAGGGATGCCTTTAGCATTTTTTCTTCTGGAGGTAAAAGCTCTCTTAGAAGATGGAACTATAGTAGAAAGATGCAGAGATGTGGTACTTGGCTAAATGAGTCAGAAGAATACAAAGGAAATTTACCATTACCTCTGGGCTTCAATCAGAAACAGTAGTTGCCTCAGCAAATATATTAAAATTATGTGCTCTTATTCAAAAAAATCTCCTCTGTGTTTCATATTGCAGTCTCTAACAAGATTTTAGAGTGATTTTTTTCCTTCCTTCTGTGATCTGTTAAGTTTTTCACTCACTCAAAGGTATTTTTAGTATCTATTTTTCATATTTTTCCCAAAATGGAGACTGAGTAACAAGATGTCAGAGTATCGCTTATAAATCAGACTGCTTTGTGATATTTTTAATTATGCAAATCCTGGTAAGTAACATATTTTGCTGTAAGTGCTTCATACTTAATTCCAATTTAAATAGGAAAACATAGAAGACAGAATGAAGTTGCTTCAAGGTCTTCCTTGATTTTGACTTTCTGACATTGGAAATTTACAACATTGGAAATGTAAAATATTAAAAAGTTTTTAATTAAAATATTTTATGATACTAAGGTATTTAAAATAACAGGTTTTATGAGAATGAATTTGGTCCAGGAGAATAAAGAACTTATCCGGCAGGTATTACTGAATTTTCTTATATAAAATAAAGTATATTCTACTTTTATCTTTCCAGAATTTTGACAGGTGATGAATCTGACTAAATAGCTCATTTCTTTTAAAAAGTTAGTGTGTTTAATATGTTCTCTCCACTAGAAAACTCAACAATGATGTTTCTAATTTTGTTAATTCTGTTATTGAAGAGTCTGGATGTAGAATCACGTACAGCAGAGATTTTTGTGGCAACACAAACTTGCTTCCTCTGCACAGCATTAGAGCTCTCTATGCATGAAAACTTCAGCATAAGAAGAATTAGCTTAAATCAAAATTCGTGTTTAGTGAATTGTTTCCATGTAAAATTTTTATCACCATATGTTGAAATGAGCACAATAATTATATTTCATCAGTGATTCTATTAGCATATTTTGATGCTCAGTTGTATAGCTAAGATTTTAAAACTCAGATTCTAAAGTTTTAAGTGATCTCTTGTTAACAGTTTTCTGGTGTCCATTGAGAATTTTACAATTCAGACTGCTAAGTGATAGAAAACTTGAACTGGATTTCAACATAATCAGTAAATTTATATACAAGATAAAAGCTATGACATTCATGAAAAGTTCTAGCCATTAATTATTAATTATTTGTTATAGGTGAAAATTTTGATCAGAGTCCTTTGAGAAGAACATTCAAATCCAAAGTTTTGGCCCACTACCCTCAGAATATAGAATGGAACCCTTTTGATCAAGATGCAGTGAACATGGTATGTATTTTTTCCCTCCATTTTTTCTTAAACCTTCCTTTTATTTTATTAAGATGGCAGTGATGACTATAGCTGGAGTGCCTACATTATTTCATTTAAGTTAATCCTTTAAGTAATTCTATGATAGATACAATGTTGTCCATGTTTTATAGATATGGAAACTGAAGCTCAAAGAAATTAGGTTCCCTACCCAGGGTTCCCAAAGCTAATGAGTGTATATAACAGAACCTCAAAGCCCATTTTATTTCCCACTATTAAACTATGTTGTGGGTTTGCATTAATATATAGATGCTTTGATAAGCAGTGATACTACTTTGTTTGCCTGATGAAAGGAGCATGGTTACAGTTTCCGTATTTTAAGGAATGATACACTGTTGGCCTGTAATTTTTCATTTTGACAGATAACATGAAGATGGGAAGGAACTTAAGTGCATCATTTAAACATTTATAGGAATTTGTTTATAAGGAATCTCAGTCTGTATACTGAGTTACAAATGGTGGTTGAAAGTCTCCCCAGGAATTCTCAGAAATGAAATAAGTCATACTTTTCTGATCACTTAGGAAGAGCCTTGCTTAGAAGCCTTGATAATATTTTAGATTTCCATCAACTCTGATTACGTATTTCAAGAGGCCCCAATGTGATCAAATCAGAGACCAGGCATGATAGACACAGAAGTGATTAATGGTGGGCTGACAGAATTTTGAAGGTATAATTAGAAGATCCATTATGATACGCTTTAATGAAAGGAGAATAACATTTAGGGCATGCCTGCTAGGTTAGCACATGTCTGCTAGGTACTTCAGGAATGTTATTTTCACATATATGTTTATATTTACCCAGTGTGATTTCTTGTCATATTTCACAGAGTCATGTAGTTCAGAGTCATGTAGTAAGTATCCAAGGCTAAATCCAGATCATTTTTACTCTCTAGCTCATTTTTTTTCTTACCTGCCAAGCTGCTTCCTCAAGAGAAAAAACTATGTGTCTTAGTTTTGATTTGTATCACAAATGACATGGAGCCTGGTTCCAGTGGCTCACGCCTATAATCCTAGCCACTTGGGAAGCAGAAATCAGGAGGATCATAGTTCAAAGCCAGCCCAGGCAAATAGTTCACAAGCCCCTCTCTTCAAAAATGTCCAATGCCAAAAAGGGTTGATGGAGTGGCTCAAATGGTAGAGCACCTGCATAGCAAACCTGAGGCACTGAGTTCAAACTCTAGTACCATTTAAAGAAAAAAAAAGATACAGATCACAATGGACTTTTAGTGGTATTTCTGGGTCATAGTAAAGCCTTTCCAGTTTGGGCTTGCTCCAGGGAAGTTTAGTGCTTTTTGTAAGGACAAATGCCTAAATCACTTGGCATTTGACTTTGATTTTTTTACATAGCACAATGTAGTTATATTCTAAACTACTAGCCAATACAAAGTAAGCAGAGATGCTGTTTTGTTGGAATGTATTACCGTGGAAGCTTAGCATCATCTTTGGTGAAGATAGTATTACAGATATTGGATAGCACACAGTCTTAGTTATCTTTATGAAACTTAGAGGAGTCTGAATAATCTTGACCAAAATAGTCAGCAAGCAGGAGTGACAAAAAGTAATTTATCAGCTTCTTGTGCCAGTCAACTAACAGAAAGTTATTAAGGAAAAGAATGTATAACCAAAGCAATGAAAAATGGGTAAGAATGTTAGTAAAGTAGAATACTTGATCTTGGGCTGGTGGTGTAGCCCAAGTGGTAGAGCACCTGCCAAGCAAGCACAAAACTCCAGTACCACCAAAACAAACAAATAAACAAAACAAACTTGATCTTCTGAAATTAGTAAAATATTTCAAAATACGAATGTTTCCATGAAATACCAGAATGATGTTCAAAACTATGTTCTTACTATAATATCAGTAACTAGTATTAGTACTAATTCATACTAGTCTCTCAAAATGAAATGCCATACTAGATGTGTTTTCTACCTTTTAATCATTTGAATGGATTAATAGTGAGGAATATATAGCTTTTGTCTATCTTCAAATCATTCATCTTTTTTTTTATTGTTTTATTATTCATATGCGCATACAAGGCTTGGGTCATTTCTCCCCCCTGCCCCCATCCCCTCCCTTACCACCCACTGCGCCCCCTCCCTCTATCCCCCACCCCCTCAGTACCCAGCAGAAACTATTTTGCCCTTATCTCTAATTTTGTTGAAGAGAGAGTATAAGCAATAATAGGAAAGAACAAGGGTTTTCACGAGTTGAGATAAGGATAGCTATACAGGGAGTTGACACATTAATTTCCTGTGCGTCTGTGTTACCTTCTAGGTTAATTCTTTTTGATCTAACCTTTTCTCTAGTTCCTGGTCCCCTTTTCCTATTGGCCTCAGTTGCTTTTAAAGGTATCTGCTTTAGTTTCTCTGCATTAAGGGCAACAAATGCTAGCTAATTTTTTAGGTGTCTTACCTATCCTCACCCCTCCCTTGTGTGCTCTCACTTTTATCATGTGCTCAAAGTCCAGTCCCCTTGTTGTGTTTGCCCTTGATCCTAATGTCCACATATGAGGGAGAACATACGATTTTTGGTCTTTTGGGCCAGGATAACCTCACTCAGAATGACAAAACATTCATCTTTAAGGCAATTATCTGCTTCCTTGATCTGTCTCTGTTGTTTTCTTTACCTCTTGGTAGCTTTATTGGTTATTTTATGCAAACAGCAAAAGTCTCCCTCTGAAGAATAAATGCAGAGGCTGGGTTTTAATGGTTAAGTTCCACACAGCATTTTGGTTTTTGCTGCAAATCCAAAATGATTTACTAGTATTCCTTGAAAAGCTCTGAACAGCCTCCAATTAAACTAGTCTGAATTTGGATTATAGATTTACTGTTCTTAATTCATCTTTGATTTATTAGTAAGTACATTTGTATCAAGGTATAATTTATTCTCACTTAAAGGTATAAAGCTTTGTCTTGCCTTTAGCAAAATCTCACTCCAAGACATTGCCTTCTATAATACCAGTCATTCCTCTAACAAGCAACAGTGGTGCTTTGAATAAAGGTCATCAGTTTCACACAGATATTAGGTACTAAAAGCAGTGTACTCACACTAAGTTGAAATATTATAAAACAGAGAGAACAGAACAGTAAACAGTCAGATACCCTAAACCCAGAGCTAACACATGTCAGCATTGACATGTGTTATTTCAGATTTGTACCTTTAATCTTAAACAGAGCTTTGCGAACCAGAACTGAAGTTTTTCCACTCTCTCCCCCAGCCCCACTGTCAGATTCTCTTTGAGGTAACATGTATATTGGCATCCATGACTATTTATGTAATGTTTTAGTAGATAGATTTTATTCTTAAGAATGTGTGGCACCTGGGAATTCTTATTAAGAAAGCATGCTCAATAACCTCTTTAAGTAAGTTGTATGAAACGTTAATTATTCTGTTTTGTATATCTGTCCAAAATGGAACATCTGATAAATGATATTTCAGGTAATTAAAAGTGTAGTAACTATTATATAGCTCTTTATAATCTATAAATTTATGGTCTACTTTGATCACAAAGAAAGGTGGAGCAAAGGGTAAAAGATAAAAGGTTGGCAGAAAAAAACTATTCAGATGAGTAGTCTACTTCTCTCTGTTTTTGCCTACCTTTTGTCTGAATCCCCAAGATCTTGTACTTGGACTCTTGCAGTCACTGTGTAACTGGCCTTCTGCTCCTGTTCTTCACCCTGTTGCTCTTGCTTATGCTGATGCTTCTCTTCTTCCACTTCTCCTTCACCCTGAATTGTTGATCCTTAAGATTTCATTTTAGGGCTGGAGGCATGGCTCAAGTGGTAGAGCACCTGCTTCAAAAGCATGAAACCTTGCATTCAAACCCAAGCCCCAATACTGCCCCCCAAAAAAGATTTCATTTTAAACAGTGTCCTTAGAGAGCCCATCCCCCTCTTACCACCCTCTTACATTCTGTCAGATTTCTTTGGGTTCTCTTAGTACCCTGTACCTTTTTGTAGCGCCTATCCCAGTTGCAAATAAATTATTATGCAGATAGGACTCAAATCTGTATCTCCTGTCATAATGTAAGCACCATGAGGACAGGAGTGTTTTCTCTTATTTTTTGCTACATCCCTAGGATTGCACATAGTAGATGCTCAAATCATTGAGTAAATGAAGGAATACTTGCTTGCTTGCTTAAAATACTTCTCTTCCCTCACCTTGGGAAGGACAGGTGCAAAACACTTCCCTCCTCCTTCAATTCTGAAGGTAGTTGTGGTTCTTTTTTTTTTTTAATTATTAGCCTGTATCGATTGCACAGGGGCAGTTGATTCATTGTGATATTTATATATATGCTTACAATGTCTTAATTAGATTCTCCTACTCCATCATTCTCCCTCATCCCCCTCCACTTAGAACAATTTCAACAGCAAAACCCTCTCTTTAGCAGTTAAATGCTCTCTCCTTTCTTCCTATAACATCTTGAACACACTCCATTAGCAGCACTGATCACCATGTTTTGCAACTCTGTTGGTTTATGTCTGCCTTTCCTCCTAGACTGTGAACCTTCTGAAGGAAGGAATTATTTTCATATTTCTCTTCTGAGTTGCCACAGTTCGATGCAATACATAGGATACAGTAAATGTTTATTAAAGAAGGGCAGGAGAGTGGAGGGATGGAGAAGGGAAAGAGAAGGAACAAAAGAAGAAAGGGCAGGCAAACTGACCAACTCTTGGGTTTTCTGAATAAGTTTTCTTTTGTTCAAATAATGTGAAAGAGGCTGTGGGGTCCTAGAACTATAGAATTTAGAAAAAGGAATAGCTAAAATTTTAGCCAAAAAGAAAGGAAGAAGGAAGAAATTAACTAACCAAACTGCCTGAAAGGGTGCAGAGAGATCAAAAAGGACATTTGGTCACTCAGACTGGGAGAGGTCCACAGTCTGCCTGCTTTGGCTAAAGAATTTGCTGATAAATGGCCATCTGGTCACCAATAACAACTCTTTATTTTTAGCTATTGTGAGGTGAGAAAGAAGCTGGTAATAATACTGTGGGTTAACAAGAGATGTAAATGGTAAGCAGGTCTTGATTGATATCTAAGGTTTTCTGAGAAATAAAGTGTCTTTTAGTTCTTAATCATTTATGACCTTGTCTTTTAAAAATGAAAAAGAGAGTAGTAGTTTCCAATTCATGTTTCCCAGATTACACATGCAATTCTTACTTTTTTTGATTTGTAGGAAGAGCATTTAGGAAAGAAATCTTACATCTGTTAATCTGTGGCACAGGAAGTCTTTCTTCCCTTTCAGCACAACTCTTGGCAAGCTTTTCCTGTAAATGTTTGAATGTGTGCTCAAGAAGGCTACAAACCCTTAAGAGAATATTTGGCAGCTTTTCAAAAACATTGTGAACAGTGATTCTTGACATGGTTTATCATGTCAAGAAAGCCTGTCAATAAAACTATATCTTTATGTTGACTTTGGAGGTCACATACTGCCTATTTGATGTAAAAAGGGAACTTGTTCCACATACAAAGAGGCTGGATCAAGAGATAGACTAAATCTGGTCCTATATCCAAAACTGTTGTTTTTATTTGTTTTCTTGTTCATTCAGTAAATTCTGATATGCCATGTACTGTGCTGAGCAAGTTTGAAGCAGCCTGGAGTGAGAATGATTCAAACCATCCCTACTATAGTCTTTATGACTATAGTAACTCAATGATTTCTTGTTATGATGAAAGCAGCCTTAATTTGAAGGCTGAAAGGATCCTGCTGTGCATGACCTTTCTTTATACAATTATTCCCAAGACTAGGAATAGCCAGTTTTTTCCTCTAGCAAACCCAAGTGTTCATGGGTTTTATCTAAGTCTGTCTTATTCTAGCCAAATATACATAGTGATTTAACTCTTTTCAACATATATTAAAGAATTAAGTAAATCTACTTTAGTTCTTTCAGAATCTCACGTTCAGTGGTGTGAAATATAAAGACAGTTTCAGGCTCCAAAATGGGTGGTAGTGTATATTTGTGGTACCAGATGCTCAGGAGGAAATAGGAGGATCTTGGTCCAAGACCATCTGGGCAAAATTAATGTGAGACCTTATCTAAAAAAAGAAACTAAAAACAAAAGGAAGGGCTGGAATGTGGCTCAGTCTGTAGAGCGCCTGCCTGCAAGTGCTAAGCCCTAAGTTCAAAGTGGTATATTGTTTTTTTGGTTTTGGTTTTGATTTTGGCTTCTTTTTTTGCTGGGGAAGGGGCTGGTGGTACAAGGGATTGAACCTAGAGCCTCTGCTCACACAAAGCAAGTGTTCTACTACTTAAGCCATGTCCCCAGGCATTTTTTTTTTTTTGAGATAGGGTCTTGTGCCACCTTTGATAGACTGGCCTGGAACTCATAATTCTCCTACCTCTACTTTCTGAGTAGTTGGGATTATAGGTATGAACCACCACACTCAGCCTACAAATGGTATATTATTTGATGAGTGGTTCTCTTGAATACTTAAGGTTTCTGAGATAGGATCCAGCTCTTGAATAATTTGCGATCTAGAGATCAAGTAAAATTAAAGAGCCCTAGAGTGAGGTGTGATAGCACACCCTTATAATCCCTGCACTCAGGAGGCAGAAGAATCTCAAGTTCTAGTCAGCTTGGTCTGCATAGTGAAACTCTGTCACAAAAAAGAAAAAATTAAAAAGCAAGAATATGTATATAATACATACTATACAGTAATGCAAGGCTTTATTTGCTTTGCTTGTCTATACAAAAAAAGAGTTTAGAGAAGTAACATTTAAAAAGCATTTAAAAGATGAGAACACCATTTCGTTTTATAGAAAGGCAAAGGAAGGCCGCCTCTCTAAGATAGTGTTTATAAGTGATCTTAAAAGAAACAGTGGGATGTTTTGGTTGTCTACTGCTGCATAACAGGCCATCCTTGAGGGCTGGCAGAGTGGCTCAAGTCGTATAGCTCCTGCCTAACAAACTATCCTGTACAACTTAATGGCTTAAAGAATGGGTCAGCAGTTTTTTCCCATAAGGTAAATATTTGAGGTACTATGGGCCATACATTTTCTGTCACACTTACTTAACTCCACTGTGGTAGTACAAAAGCATCCATAGACGATATATAAGCAGAGACTACAGCTGGGTTCCAGTGGAACTTTGTTTACAAAAACTGGTGGCAATGCCAAGTGTGGCGGCTCACACCTGGAATCCCAGCTACATGGAAGGCAGAGATTGGGAGGATCTCGGTTCAAGGCCAGCCTGTGCAAAAAGTTCAAGAGACCTGATCTCAACCAGTAACTGGGTGCTGTCACAATGTGCCTATCATCCCAGCTGCACAGGAGCATAAGCAGGAGGATCTTAGTTCAGGCCAGCCTGGGCATACAGCAAGAGTCCATTCAAAAAATACCTAAAGCAAATAGGGCTGGGGGTGTGGCTAAAGTGGTAGAGCACCTGCCTAACAAGCTCAAGGCCCTAAGTTCAAACCCCAGTTTCTCCAGGAGAAAAAAGAAACAGTGCCAGATTGGATTTGAGCTAAAATCTATAGTTTGCTGACCCTTGATTTGAAACAACAAAAATTAGACTGAGTGCTAGAGGCTCTGGGCTGATTTCCGAATACCACAGGACAATAAATAAAAATTATAAATAATTACTTTGCTTAGAAATCTATGATTTGGGTAGGTTTGGCAAGACATTCCCTCTGTTGTACTAATTGTCAGAGCAGTGGAAGGTTGAAATCAAATGAAGACTGGCCCACTCACTTATCGATCTGTCTTCTGGGCTAGGAATAGACTAGGGTTCCTTCTGTTTCTATGTGATCTCTGCATTTGGTCTTGCTAACATGACAGCTTCAAGTTAGCCAGACTTCTTACTTGATTTATTAGCCATTAATAGATGTCTGACCAGTGAGAGAAGTGAAAGCTGTCTTTTTTCCTTTTCTTTTTAATTACCATATATTAAAGAAGCTGCCTCTTTTAGACTTACCTGCATAGTCACTCAGTGCCACTTGTCACTGCTATTGCATTTTACTGATTAGGTCAGGGGTAGACAAACACAATCCCCTGTCCAAATTCATCCACCTGTTTTTGTTTTTTGGTAGTATTGGCACCTGAATTCAGTGCCTCACACTTGCTAAGCAGGTGCCTTACCACTTGAGCCACTCTGCCAGCCCTCGTTTGGATGCAAACTATTTGCCTGGGCTTTGAACCTCAGTCCTCTTGATCTCTGCCTCCTGAGTAGCTTGAATAACAGGTGTGAGCCATCAGCTCCCAGCATCCATATTTATAAATAAAATCGTATTAGAGTAAAGCCATAACCATTCCTGTATGTGTTGTCCATGGCTGCTTTCACACTACAATAGTAGAGCTGTGTCATTGTGATAAAAGACTGTGGTCTGCAGAACCTAAAATATTTATCTGAGTCTTTATAGAAAATGTTTGTCACTGCCTGGTATAAGCACTCTCAGTGGCCCACCCAGGTTCAAGGAGAAGGGTAGAGTCCATATCTTAATGGGGGCATATCAAGATTCTGGAAGAGTGTGTCGAACCAGAAATATAGTGTACCACAGGGAGTAGGCCATGTGGATAATGAGGGATCCAGGAGAGGGACACCAGGTTTTGATAGGAGCGTGCTAGCCCTGTTCACAGGGGAGCAGTGTGCCAGTGTTGCTGGACTGAGCAGGTGAGCTAAGTTGTGGGAAGTGAGGGTAGAGTTACCAGGACCAGGTAACATAGGACCTTGCTGTAGGTCATTGTGGGGACTTTGCTTTTAGTGAGGGAGGAGGCTATTGGGAAGTTGGAGAAGAATGGCACAATCTAACATTTTTAAGAAACATATTGGCTACTATATGAGAAATAGATTGTGGTTGACAAGGGTAAAAGCAAGGACACTGGTTAAAAGGATATCATAGTCATCCAGCCAAGAGAAGAGAGTGGCATAGATTAGAGTGGTGAGGTTAAAAGATGGAAGTAATTTGTTTCCAATGGGATATGGTGACGTATGCCTACAGAGGCAGAGATCAGAATGATCACAGTTCAAGGCCATCCTGAGCAAAAAGTTAGTAAGACCCCATCTCAACAAATAAGCCAGGCATGGTAGTACACACTGTAATCCCAGCTGTGAGAGAGGTGGAGATACGAGGATTATTATCTGAGGCTGCCTCTAGGCAAAAATGTGAGAACCTACTTGAAAAATAACAAAAGCAAAAATGGCTGGGACATAGCTTAAGTAGTAGAGCAACCTTCCTAGCAAGTTTGAGACCTTGAACTCAGACCCCAGTACTACCCTTTCCCTCACCCCCAAAGAGAAAAAGTAATTAGTTCCTTAATGTATATCTGAAGACACGACTGCTAATGTTTGCTGATGGATTAGGTAATGGGTTGAGAGAAAAGAGAGAGGTCAAAGATTACTATAAGGTTTTTGTTCTGTGCAGACTAGATGATGTATGGAGTTAACCAACCAGGAAGGTTTGGAGGGAGAATTTAGGACTTCACTTGTGGACATGTTAACTTGTAGATGCCTGTTAGATATCTTGATGAGAATGTGAAGTACTTAAATATACGTAAAGTGTCTTTGCCTACTCTGTCTTCAAGTCACTGATGTAGCACTGTTGCAGACAAAGGACCTAAGGCTCAGAGAAGTAATGACTTGCTCAAGGTCACCTTAATTAGAGGTTTACTGGGACCAAATCAAGTCTTCTCATTCTTAATATAGCTCCCTACACGTAATACCCACACAGTGAACATTTTCTCTTTTTATATATATTTGTATTCATGTGTGTATGTACATATATGTGTGTGTGTATATATTCCTTTTAATAATAATTTTATCCATGTGTAAATGAAGCGCTTATAATGTATTTGTAATTTAAGGCTTTTGCTAAAGTTAAATCTAGATAAAACCTGTCCTTTTGGATCCTGTTATGTTAAATAAAACCATACATCTTTTTCTGGTTTAAAGTTACTTGTAGACTGCCTTCTGATGCTTTCTTCTTCTTCCACAGTTGTGCATGCCTAAAGGGCTGTCTTTCAGAACACAAGCTGACAATAAAGATCCTCAGTTCCACTCATTTATAATCACCCGGGAAGATGGTTCTCGAACCTATGGTTTTGTTCTCACTTTTTATGAAGAAGTCACCAGTAAGCAAATCTGCACAGCCATGCAGACGCTTTACCAGATGCACAACGCTGAGCAGTACAGCACCGTGTATGCTTCTTCTTCTTGCAGCATGGACTCACTGGCAAGCAGTATTGATGAGGGAGATACAACTTCCCTTTTGAAGCTCCAGCGATACAACTCCTATGATATCAACAGAGACACCCTGTATGTTTCCAAAAGTATATGCTTGATCACACCACTACCTTTCATGCAGGCCTGCAAGAAATTCCTCGTCCAGCTTTACAAGGCTGTTACTTCACAGCAGCCACCACCCTTACCACTTGAGAGCTACATCCATAATATTCTTTATGAGGTCCCCCTTCCACCTCCTGGGAGATCACTGAAATTTTATGGTGTTTATGAACCTGTCATCTGTCAGAGGCCTGGGCCCAATGAACTTCCCCTCTCTGACTACCCTCTTCGAGAGGCCTTTGAGCTCCTGGGATTAGAAAACCTAGTGCAGGTGTTTACCTGTGTTCTTTTAGAAATGCAGATCCTTCTCTACTCACAAGGTAGGTGTTGTAAGAAAAAGTACTTACTTGGATCTTCTACTACTGTATTTCCTTGATCTCTGTTATTAGAAGTAAGTAATTAATGTTTAGGAGTCTCTTCTGGTTTATGTAAAAGAAACAGATATGAGTGAGACTAAAGCCTGCAGTATTGCTTCTCTTAGAGGTGACACTGAGTGTAGAGAGAAACAAGAAGGAATACAAAAGAGTTACTCTGATTGATCTGGGTATATTTATTTTTAATGGAAATAACCTCTTTCCTGATAAAGCATGATTATCATTAAAGAAGCACTGTTTTCCTGATGAGTGGGAGGAAACCTGTTACTACAAGGAATGTGTAGACTTCCCATTCTTGACATTAAATGAGATTGTTTACTCTGCAGCTTCTTGAACCAATACCAGTAGGAGCATTTCATGTGAGTGAGTAAGAGAATGTGTGCAGGTGTGAAATAGATATGACTCTCCAGTTCTAAGGATACTTCTGCCAGGACTGTGTGTATGAGGGAATGGGATCTAAATCCCAAAAGGAAGTTACCGCTGGGGGAGTGGCTTAAGTGGTAGAGAGTCTGCCTAGCAAGCATGAGGCTCTGAGTTCAAACTCCAGCATTACCAAAAAACAACAACAACAAAAAAAACCCAAAAGGAAGTTTACCTTTGTGATACCTTTTATTCAAAGTTCTCCCAGCATACTCTTAGTATATGATACAAAAAACTGAGTTTTATTTTACCAGTACATTTACAGTGACTAATGTGTAGCCTAGACGAGGATACCAGTTCTCATCTGAATATGAATTCACAAAAGAAACAGAGATGTTGTGTCTTATAGATAGTGGATTGAAGGAAATTATAACATGGAACCTGTGTTCTGATGGCTCCTTTTAAAAATGTGGCACAAATATTTGGGTTAGCATTTTGCTAACTTATATTTAGGCTGGCAGAATTGTAGTGCAGTCCCATCAAGCTTACTTTACCACTTTTCTTTTTCTATTTTTCTATTTTAAATTATAAGTGAAGCTGAGCCAAGTAGGCTATATTTGTACTTACCCATCTTGTGTGTATGTTGACACTATTTGTGTGTTGACAGCCCTTCATGAGTTTGTTTTCTTTCAGTTTTTCTTGCATTATGTTATTTGATAATGTGTTCCAGTGTCTCACTTTTTGTTGTCAGAAAGTTCTTGCCTGGTGGCCAATCTGAGTGCTTTCATTTCCTCTTGTTCTCACTTTGTTAATGCTCAATATTACCTGTGAGTCACTTGTTTGTGGCTGAAATTTTTTACTTTAAGTGAGTCTCTCTTCCTCTCTTACTTTTTTTCCATGAAGTTGATAGGGTCAGATATCTGCATTATGTCTATACTGAAACAGTTTCAGATCTTGGAGCATTTCAGATTTCAGATTTTTGGATTAGGGATACTTAATATGCATTGGTTTGGGAAATCATAATGATTCTGGGGTCAAATCTCCCTTACCAACTGTGTAAACATAGGCATGTTACTTAATTTTCCCTTGGTCCTCTCATCTCTGGGGGAATATGTGTTCACCCCCCACCAGTGATTTATTGTGAAGGTTAAATAAGAAAACTTGTACAAATACTTAGGGTATAATTGGCATGGACTAAATGAGAGCTTGTTATTATAATTACTATTAGTTTTATTAGTCTTGTATAATCCTCTATAAATTATGCTTAAGTTCTGAAGGTTCAACATATTACTATATTTAAACCATAGTTGGTTTTTAGTTTTGGTTTTTTGTTTTGTTTTGTCTTTTGCTGTCTGATCCTTTATTTAGGGTTTTTGGTTTTTTTTTTTTCTAAGTAAATCAGTTATTTTCCTTAAAGACAACCCTTCCACTTCAGGAATTCATTACATGCTGAGTCCAGAGGGTCTTTTCACGCCTGTGTTGAATCAGGGCTTGTGGACTAGTGATTGAAGGCTGGAGTCTCACAAGTCACTGCTATGGTCTGAAAGTTTGTGTTCCCCTGAGATTTGTATATTAAAACCTTACCACCAATGTGATGGTATTAGGCTGTGGGCAGAGTCTTTGGGAGGTAACTAGGTTATGAGGGCAGAGCTCTGGTGAGTGGAATTAGAACCCTTATAAAAGAAAAGTGGTCCCAGGGAGTTGCCTTGCCCCTTCTACCATGTTGTGGATATAAAGAGAAGATACTGTCTATGAACCAGAAAGTGGGCCCTTACCAGATTCTGAATCTGCCTCCAGAATTGTGAGAAATAAATCTCTGTCATTTATAACCCACTTCTCTAGTCTAATAAACCATAGTATTTTTAAATTAAATAGTTGAGGCATTTGTTCAGACTGAAGGTATAGTTCAGTGGTAGAGTGCTTGTATAACATTTGTGAGGCCCCTGAGTTCATCCCCTGCACTGTAAAAAAATAATTTAAAAAGGCATTTGTTCTAGGATTAAGCACCTAGCTAGGGGTGTAACTCAGAGGTAGAGCACTTGCCTAACATGTGCAAGGCTCAGGGTTCTATATCTCACTGCAAAAACAAAACAAAACAAAAATGAACCTACAAATGTTGTTTTATACTGTGTGCCATTCTTTTCATGATTGTGCTTCCTTTTTTTATTTTATTTTTTGCAGTATTGGGGTTTGAACTTAGGGCCTACACCTTGAGCCCCCCCCCCCCATTTTATTGGTTTGGTTTTTTTTTTTTGGTGAAGGGTTTTTTTGAGATAGTGTCTCTCAAACTGTTTGCCCACGCTGTCATGGAACCATGATCCTCCTGATCTCTGCCTCCTGAGTTGCTAGGATCACAGGCCTGAGCCACAGGCACATGGCATGAGAACACATTGGTAATACATTTATTTTTGTTTTTTTGGTGGTACTGGGGTTTGAACTCAGGACCTCATGCTTGCTAGGCAAGTGCTCTACCATTTAAGCCACTCCTCCAGCCTGCTTTTTAAAATAGATCTTTATGTCTCAACTGCTTGTCTGTCCTGAGCCCTTACCTTTTTGAACTGTTTGATTAGTGTCCCATTTGGTTTAAGGAGTCTGTTGAGACATTTTGGTTGATTATTATCTATCAATTTATTTTAGTTTCAAAGAATATTTATGAACATGTTTTTGTACTCTGAGTATTTTTTGGTAGTTTGGTCATATGCTGAGAATGAAAGAGTGAATCCTGAGATTATAGAACTAGACTTTTAAAATTTGACACAGGGTTTGCCTGTGCTGCCAAGGCTGGCTTCATATTCTCAGCCCCCCAAGTAGCTAGGATTAGAGGCATACACCATTGTACCTGGCTCCTAGAACTAGATTTTTTTCCTAAGTGCTGTGTAGAAAAAATGGCCCATACAGTGAGTTTTATAACCATTCACTACACTCTATATCAGGAATTGTGCTACAGAAAAGCTTGTATGTTTTGGGGTTTCCCCTGCATTTAATCCCCTCACTAATGAGTTAGTGCTATTGTCCATGTTTTATTGAGGAGGGTATTAAGGCTCAGAGGCTAAGTAATCAGCCCAGAATCATGCAGCACATAAGTAATGTGGTGGCTCCAAGAACTGGGTTTCAGTACGTCTTTCTCCATAGTGCTGAGCCACCAGGTTAACTGTATTGGGACCGCACTTCACCTTTCCTTGCTTATCTCTATTTATTTTTAAATCATTACTCATTCTTCAGCCCTAATTCTTCAGCTAAGTCCTTGTGGAGGATGAAATGAAACCTCTGTGTAAATGCAGATTTTAACATTAAGCCTATCATATCAAAGAAAGACATTTCATCTAAATGAATGAAGTAAAAGAATCATTATATTGACTTGCACTCTTAGACCTTTCTTCACCCTTCCTGACTCTGTGTAAGGGGAATTTAAGAACATATTTCATTTCTTACTCACTAATAAATCTATGCCATAAATAAAAACATTTCAAGTACTAAACAATTACCATAAAAACCCAAACTGCATCAAAGTAAATGGATTTCTGTGATGAAAATCCATCTAGATTGATTTAAAATTCTGGTCCATAACTTGTTTAATCAATTCAATCTGTTATGTAGAGTGGGTGTGCATCACAGTCACTTTGCAGTGGTAATTAGCTAGAAATTTTAAGTGAAGAATGCACCCAGGACCCAGGAGATGAAGGCGCTTTGCTCAGACCCCAAATTAAAAAAAAAAAAAAAGTACTTTCTTCTGAAACCTTGAAATGTGTGGAGTAGTACAGTGGAAGATGTGAGTATGATCTTCTTTTCAAAAGAACAGTGGAGGAATAAAAGATGGCGAATTTAAACACCAGCGTCTAACTTGTGATACCAGTAATTAAAGCCTCTGGAACATTTTTTGAGCCTTGCGTACCTCCTTTGGCTGTTCACAAAGAAAATAAGCAGTTACCACTGTCCTCCCCACACTGTGTGCCTTTGGCAGCACTCCTCTGCCCTCCTCTTGGTGCTTCTCCTCCCTTGTAAATTGTGTGGATTAATCTTACCAGAAAGTAGAAGCTACTTGCAGTTTTCTTGAAAAAGTTGGGAGCTTCTAATCACAAATTAGTAGTTATGTTCAGGTGAACTTTATTGTTTATGGAGTGTATAAATCATAAAATCTGATATTTTGTTGACAAAGAGTGGATTTCCATGACCTGGATCCTTAGTGCAGTAGAATTTGATCACCTTTGACCAATATATTTAATACTATTAGCTTTATCTTATGATAAACATAATATTATTAAAAATTACTCATGATATTTTAAAACAGTAGGGCAGACTTTATTTGAGTCAGTTGAAATAGACACATGAGACTATCTCATACAGATATCCCTTTAATAGTCCAGTTTTCCATTGCCCATCTATCTGACCATATAACCAGGCCATTGGCTTCTGCCTATCAGGCTGTAAAAAACAAGTCACTGGGACTTTTACCCTTGGTTCAGCTCTTCTGTCACTGCTAGGAAAAGAGCATATGAGTCAGTGGCCTACTGAGCTGACTTGTTTTTACCTTCTTTGATTCAAGTGACCTTCAAAATGGGATGTGTCCATTCACCTTGGAATTGCCA